CTGATCACCCTGAGGACTCCTAAAGAATAATATAAAATAAAAAGGCAGAGAAGAGACGCTGAGAAGTACAGCAAAGCGTATTTTCAGATTAGATAACACTTCAGGCACTAAAATATTATCTGTGCCATTGAATTACTTCAGTATGTCACGACATTAAACAATAACACACAGGCGGTTGTTTGTCGTCAGATAAGAAGCCTATACGAGGTCATAAAATTCACTGCAAAACTAGAAACAATGTAATGCTTTTGCTTAGTTAACATGAATATCGACGTTAAGAACAGGTTCATGAGTTAGGACTTAACAAGGATCGCTTCTTGCAGACCAAGCGACCTGCTATTGACCTATTTGAACCGATTGAACTGGGAAGTCACACAACTGCATTAAGTTGTTCGAAAATAATATTAACAATAAATGAAAATAATAATTCAGTACTGTAAGAATGAATTGAATCTGAAAGACGGTTTATATAAGAAGAAGACATAGTTTCTTGCCTCTTCAGAATTAATTTGCCAGGAATGAAGTGCAACCAAGGAGAACGTTAGCAATTGGATAAATTCGTGTTATGATTGTTACTGGAGTTAAGACAGGACGCTTCGTCCGCCGGGTAAGTCTAAAAACAATCTCGTTAGTAAATCTACCCCTCCTTCCCTTGAAAATGACGAGATACCGGTGCGCAGCCTCTTACTGTGTACCCAAGGACAACGAGAAAAAGTAATGTTAGGTTGTGTTCCCTCCATTTGATTACCGGCAAGTAAAACCATGAGACCTAGCATCGAGACTCGATCTTTCGAAATCGCTTTGCAGTCAGCAGGTTCCTACATCGAACACCGTTGTCAGGCATCCTGAAGATCTACGTGGTTTCCTAGTCCATCGGCAAAATACTGACTCTCTGTTTTGAAACAAGCCACTACTGCGTATTACACCGAACCACGAGTCAAATACTGAGGTAAGTGCGACATAGGATAGCCTAATATGTTACACTTGTTTTTATAAAGAGTAGTAACGTGATAGCTTGTCTGTTTTAGGTGTGAGAGCGACACGGAACTCGTAAGATTTCAACGATAATTCACAAGACTGGAAAAAAGGACAGTAGGTACTGTAGCCGGGACCAAAATGTGCCTATTGCCTACGTCAGTCAGTCATTGTCGACAAAGCAAGCTTCGAAGTGCGCCCGCAGAAAAATAATGTCTGTAGGATGGACAACATAGGCTCCCTTATCAGATACTCCCTCCAACTCTTCTGATCCCCTGCGTCTTACAACGGACAATTGTAGTATTTTTTAAGTTACGTCACATTTAGACTGCTGATGGCCTCTTCCAGATACTCTTAAGTCCGAAAGGTACATCGTTCCATGCAAGAGGTCTTGCGTTCCAGATAAATAAACACTCTGTAGATGTGGGAAGTGCCTGGAACAGACCGTGGTTCGGATGAAACATACAGCTTTAGATCCCTTCTAATAGCAAACATCTTCTGTTCAGTCCTACCACTGCGGGCAAAATGGAAATAACACACGCTCGGTGCTGGAATAAAAGATGAGGATTAAGTAGAATTTGAGGTTCTCACAGCGGTGAGTTCGAAGATGGCTGTCTTCTGGGTTGTATCACCGCGTAGTCTGGTAGAAGCTGGCCAACGTTTTAAAGGTCCTTGCTGCGTCCATTAACAGGGCGATCGTAACTTCGCCATAACCAGGCGGTCAGAGACCATAAATGCAGCTACAAGCCACAACACGAGAGAAAGTCGAATGCACCAACAAAAACTCTTCGCTGGTAACGAAAATGCATTAGGCATAATTTCTGAATACTTTTGACAGTAATGAACTCAGCCCATGACCAACATATGCTTTCCCTCATAGACAAATTAACGACATCGTACAATAGGCTAAAGATGTGAACAGACATCATCAGTTTTCTTGGCAAAAGCCAACTATGAAGTTGGAATAATACCAGGACTCTTGTTAATCGCATTATAACTAATACATAAACAATGGTATTCGCGAGGGGTAGCGAAAAGGGCACGAACGCTCACCGACCCACTCCGTGCAACTGCACGGTCAATACCGCCTACAACTTGATGGCCGGTGGCCGATTGTGGTGAAAAGGCTCGCGCGTTACACCCTCAGGAAATGCAGGAATTCGCATTCAAATCGATTCTCAGTATTATAATGTTCATTTGTACGTCCACAGTAAATTTATATACTTATTCATGGAACTACATACCGGTAAGAATAACAATCTAAGTGCACTGCGTAATAAGATAATGCCCTTAGAAACAATTAAATGAAAGATGGCTGTCTGCTGGGTTGTTGCGCCGTGTAGTCTGGTAGAAGTTTACCTTCCTGCCTCCATCATCAGGGCGATGACTCGTCGACCGGATGATGGAGGCAGCAAGAACCTCTGAAACGTCGGTAAATGTCTACCAGGCTACAGGCGCAACAACCCATAAGAAAGCCATCTTCAGACTCACCGCAGTGAAAACCTTAAATCCTACAAGTAAATTAAACTCTGAACCTCCTCATTGGCCCAACGTTACCGTCAAATAATTTATATCAAGTTACATGTTTATTTTAAAGTCGTGTATATTATTAGATTCACAGACAAGTTTTTCAATAAAAGTATTTTACTAAAGGCAGTTTCGTGGCTATGTGCAGTTAAATTCCAACTTCATGTAAGCACCGACATGTAGAATGGGCTCAGTCCTGGGGTTCTGGTGGATGAAGTGCCAATCATCATTCCACTGTTCCTCCATACTTGGCTATTAGCGCCCCACGAGGTATGCGATAGCCCTGACACATTATCTTACCCTCGGTTCTAAGTTAAGGGCTTCGTCTCTGACGCAGCATTTGTCTGGTCTTGGAGTAAAGTTAGCTTTGATATTGTTGAAAAGTGCATTCGTAGGACGATGAGTACAAATGTGAATAATTAAGAATTAAAACCTTGTAGTAGATAAACAGCAGAATGGGTCATCTTATATTATTTCATGTAAATGTCGTTATTCAGAATACGTTTAAAATGTATCTCAGAGAAACTCTAAAAATGTTCCTATAACCCAGCATCTAATATTGCGTAATTACAAATCAGTATATTAGCAGTTTGTCAAATTCAGTATTGGTGGTACGGAGTTAAAATATCAGCCAAGTTACCGGTTATCCTGACTATTGTTTTACGTGATTTTAATCATTTTCATCAGGCTCGGACACTACCTTGAATAGAGAAGTAAGATCTTCTTGTAAATCCTTGTAACTCACCATTCATGAACGTCTTTGTATCTCATTCTAAGCTACAGGACCTCTGTAGTTAACCGTCATAAATTAAATAGGCCTGCACAGTCTAACATCTAAGTTACAGAGACTGGACATTTTTGCAAAAGAAACTGGTAAACAATAATTTCTACAAGATATTCTTCACGGAACAGTTACAAATCTCATGGCCCTGATGATGGAAGCAGCAAGGACCTCTGAAACGTCTGTAACCTTCTACCAGACTACACGGCGCTACAACCCAGAAGACAGCCATCTTCGTAATTATTCATGCCTAAAAAACATTCAGAACTGTAACTTCTTTAAGTGCAAATATCTTAGTTTCAGTCTTCATGTCGGGCACAAGGTAAGACCCTTTCCTGTCTTGTTCGTGCGGCACAGTTCATGTGGTGTGAGGCTGTTTCCCCATCTAAATATTGTAATAAACTTTGTTTAGCTAGCGTGTTTGTGAATAAATTCTACTACCAAAAGTTTCCTCTTCAAGGCAGGTAATTAGGCTTTTACTCTAAACAATTTTCAACGGTTTCCTAGATATAAAAATCAACATTTTGCTAACCAAATCAGTAAGAAATTGTGTAGCAAAGATCTCAATTATATTATAATCACTGTCATTCGTCTTGTACCAAACTCTATGAATAGTTTTGTTGATTTAGAACGAATAAGGGTCGCACTGGTAACAGCTGTGTTGAAGGATACTGGGAACGACCCGTTCTTCGAGTGCCTGAGCACTGCGGGCCCCAACTTTTCGTTGGCTTGATCTGTAGACATTCGGTAGGACTCCTTGGACGAGGGATCGGCCCGTCGCAAGGCCTCTACCTGTACACAGGACAGCACAACACAGAAAAACGTGGACAAACATCCATGGCTGAATGGGATTCGAACCCACGGTCCCAGGGACCAAGTGGCACAAGTCCCACGCCTCAGACCGCGCGGCCACTGCGGACCCCTGTGTTGAAGGAGGGAGCCAAATTTAATAAAAAAAAGTTACCTGAAATGCTATTACTGTCTTCCCTTCTGTGACCCCCCCCCTCCCAAAAACACACTCACGCAATGTGTTCAAGCAAAGACAACGCTCGATAAGGTCTGGGGACACGAGCAGGTATAAGAGTTTTATCACCGTCGCAAAAATTCTGAAAAGGGCGCACATAAAAATCCTGCCAAATGATTTACATAATCGGAGAAAAGGTAAAAGAGGGAACAAGTAAAAGACATCTGCCGACCTCCTGAAAATTAGCAAAAACATTTTAAAGTAAAAGCGCAAGTAGCTTCGGTTTCTTTTAACGTGGTGTGAAATTAATTACTAAGTTTGTTAAGACTTTTTCAGTTAACAATGTCGACGAGTGTTGAAGTTTTGAGTGATTTTAATTCGTAATTGTTTGCGCATTAATTTTCAATCCCGACGAGCAGTTAAGCACATAATCACTTGAAACTCACCACAGCAGAAATCCATAATGGCCATACTGTGGTCAGAATAGCGAATAGGTTGAATTTATTATCGTTTCCAAATAAAAAAATTCCCTTTTAGGGAAAATTTCTCTCACAGGGTTTATGCTTTATAATTACTCCCTCTTTCTTCGTGTACATGTTCCAATTCTACGTCCATTCGCCTGTGGCTTTCTGAAAATCTAAACAGTTAAAAACAACTGTTTCACAAGCTGTTAAATGATTATCACTGCCGCGTTATCATTAACCTTGAATGTTTTTTTTTATTATTTCTGCAACTCTCAGTGAACGACACGCAATGACCGACTGTTCGCGTTACTAGTCGTCACAACGGGCACATAAATAGCACCGAGGTGTCATTCAGTCGAGGGAAGAGTGGGGTGGGGTGGGGGTATCAGCTGTGCGTGAACACGTGTGACCATACAGGACGGAGGAACCGTGCGACCTGTCCATCACTCGCTTACCTGACGGATACTCCAATTACAGTCACACCACCAACTATCACCGTGAATGGTGAGCCCTCAACACCAGCAAAAGGCACTCAACAGCAGTTTCCAGCTAGCCACAATCCAAACTGATCGACCAGCCTTCTTCATCTGCTTTACAACCACCATCTTCCTCATCTTCCCTCCCCCGCCTTTACCCATCTCTTACTTCCCCCGCTTTCCCCCTTCCTCCGCCCCCTCCTCCTCCATTTCAACCTCCACCTTCTTGTTGTTTCTTAACGTTCAAGACGCATGCATTCCTAGCATCCAACATCACACACACACCAGGACGTGCAAATACAGGCCAGCTGTGTGGTAAATTCCTTCGGAGAAATGTGACCGTATCATTACCATCATTGTGGGCACTGTCAGCATCCTGGCTGTTGCTGCTTCTGTTATTGTCATCGACGTCAACTTCAAGCGGAGGCATCGCCTCACGCAGTACCGCATTGCTTCGCCCCAGCTGTCTCTTTTTCTCTTCGATTCCTCCTCGTGCTGTCGCATATACACCTTTTCCTCGTTGGAGGATACGGCGGAGAAGAGATCTCTAATTACTGGCAGTGAAGGGGTCGGAAGACTGGGCCGGTAGTACGCTCGAACAAGACGGCGAGTAGAAGGGGTATGCCTGGGGTGGGCGGGTTTAGAGCGGCCCTCTATTCTGTGACCCTCGTGACCCGGCATCAGGGTTAAAACCAGTCGACTCCATAAGATGGAAAGAAGAATAACAGTGGAAACCTGTTTAAGTTGACCACCTGTGGTTCCGGTCATCAAAGTGGTAATTGACTGTTCTGGCAGATGGGAAATTTGTTTTCCAATGCATAAGCCTGTTATGTATACCACATATCACAACGAAAAACTCTTCCAGAACAAGCCCAATGTCTTACTGAAGCTTTTAAGTACACAATACCGATTAAAGGCGTGTGTATCTCTACAAAACATGGAAGAACACTTTACAATTTTTGATGTAACAAAATTTTCTATGATAAGCGTCTTTAATTAAATCCACCTCCAGAATACTTGCACGTTCAAGCAAACATTAAGGCATTTGAGATAAGATGAATCAAGTATAGTTATGCTATACCCCTCCTTCCTTATGATTTATCTTCATCATCTCTGCTTTCCTATAAATAAGGATGGCATGTCTTAACACCTTTCTTTGGTGCTGATCAGCAGACATTGTTTCAACCCCTATAAACCCTTAACTTCAAACAGAATGGGAAACGATGCTTTGAATCTCATACTTTTAAATTTGAATCCGGCTTATTAAACTTTTTATATCGTCCATTAGACATCAACATGACTAGTTTTGGTGTAGAAGCGAGGTATTCCCAACTGAGTCCGAAAAGTAGGCAAAGTTAACGAAAAAGAGCGAGGAAAAACAGTCTGAAGATGGCTATCTTCTGGGTTGTTGCGGTGTGTAGCCTTAAGAAGTTTACCGACGGCGCAACAACCCAGAAGACAGCCATCTTCAGACTCACCGCCGTGAAAACCTCAAATCCTACAAAAACTGACTTCTTTCAAAATGCAACTCGGTTAACGTCAACAACGGTGTTCAAGGAAAAGGCGTCCAAAATTTAAATTATTTTAGCCTTTATCGTCAATCAGTATACAGCGAAGTCCCGAAAATCTGAACTTCGGTTATACGACATACCAGAACGCTCCATTCAGCATGTAATGGAATAAATCATACTCCTCCACGCACCTTGCACATTTTATATACTTGCTTTAGTATATTGTATTTTCTTTGTAATAAAATAATATCGTAGACTGAGTCGATATGTACCCCTCTGTATAACACGACATTTCCATATAATTCGATCGTCCTTCGGTCCCGTTTAGGTCGGATAATCGGGAGTCTTCTGTAACTAGAATGTAAGCAAAAATATACTTTTTTGGTACCGCGGACTCATTCCCCAAAATCATATCATAAATTTTGATTAAAAACAGAATACAGACTAACTAAAATATTGACAGAAAGTAAATTTTCTGTTGTGTTTTTGCTCCAATGTGAAAGTTAAAATGTGATGAAAGAAAACTTGCAGCATTACGGCATAAAAAAATCGAATCTACTCAACTCGCGGACCCCTTATGCACAATTAGCGACCTCCGGCTTAGAAACACTGCTACACAGAGTTTTCATCGTGTCGTGTACACAGTCCAAGAATGTGTATCCGTGGAGTTTTTCATGACCAGTCCAGACTTTTCGATTAGACTTATGATAACAGAAAGAAGTTCAGTCAGCAATAGTATAACCATTCCAAAACTTGAGTGTACAAAGTATACAATAATATTGAAAATACCATCAAAATAGTTACGAATTCAATAAAATCTCCGGCGATAAGCCGCGTTAGAATGAAATCGTAGTCCATCATTTCAGAGACGATTTCTGTCTCCATCGCTCCATTTTGACGGGGGAAGATTTTATTATATTTAGTAGCCACGAAAACCTCAAGTCTTATAGTTGAAGAAAGACTCTCGTGTTACAAGCCTAACCTTATCTTCTGCCAGTGTTTCGAGAACCATCTCTGCTCTCATCTTCAGGGCTGCTGCGTAACGAATCTGGTCCTTTGTAGTGCACTCACCGCCAGTTCCCATCGAAATATTTGCAGAAGATATAATTTATTCACCACTCAGCCACCTGACGCAGCTTGTAACCCGAGAGTATTTCATCAACTTCAGTCACCGCGAAAGCTTCACTTTATACATCAAGTCTTTTAGTTACGAATTACTTGTTACAATTATCGAAAATAAAACTGACAGGGTTGTAACATGAATAGGATGTACAAAACATATTGTTACTCAATTTATTTCTTTTTTCGCATATTTTCTGTTGTATCAAGGCCGTTGTTCAATAAGATGTAAATTAATGATATAAATGTAATACACAGGACCTATGCTGTTATAAATAACTCATTCGACCGTCACACAGCGTTGGTCTAGAACTATCCAAAATTATGTACAGCAGCGATAGGCATGTTAAATTTTAGCCTATGTCCATGACAGTCTGACGTCAGTTGGAGAGCTTAAATCTTCTATTCGACTGTTTCGTTACAGAGCATTTATACTAAGAAATAACACGCAATTCAAGCCGTACATCGGCTGATTATTTTGTGAATAGAACTTGACATTTTTCACTTTCATGATACATACGTCTGCTTATGAACTTGAATATTTTAAATATCTACGTCACACAAACAGCAGACCTACAGCTCTTAAAATTACTTAAATGTTACAATGTTTCTGCGTGTTTCTATGTTTATCATCTTTGAATTGTAGTTTCCAAGAGGCTCGTTAAAAATTTTTTTTTTCACTCCTACATTCCGAATATTTCTAGAGTCCCACCCAGCCTTCTGTGCAGTGGGAGCTGGACTTTTCGGGAGGAAACCGGCCACAGATTATGGAGCTGCCCACTCTCCTCCATCCAATACCAAATTCGAGAATGCGTGGAGCCTCTGCATACCTTACAAGTCTTCTTCATAGCACGATGTTCAGATACAAAGGTAACTCATCCTTACACGCAAACTGTCAGTACTCATTATAAAGTTCCCAATGTGTTTCAAATATTGGTGACTTTACAATTTCATTAGTATAAGTTGTAAAGGAGGTTAACTTCATATCGATAATGTGTTAACGTAAACAGCTTAGATGGCTGTCTTCTAGTAGAAGTTCACCAACTTTTCAGAGGTCCTTGTTGCCCCCCCCCCCATCTTCAAGACGATGGGAGATGGAGGCAGCAAGGGCCTCTGAAACGTCGGTAAGCTTCTACCAGATCACACGGCGCTACAACTTAGAAGACAGCCATTCTCGTTGACACCGCCGTGAGAACTTCAAATCCTACGTAAATCAGAGACGTCGATTTTAAGAGAATTGTCCGAGGTTGACTGCCAAGAACAGGCCACGGGATTCTATCCAAAGTCAGTCTTATTGCTAGACAAAAACGTTGCTGTTGAGAAAAGTAGTGACTTGATATGTAAAGTTAACAGTGATACTGTAGATATTACACATCGCTGAAACCCCTAATTTCGGTTTGAAATCATAACATCTGCAGCATATTTATAAAACGACTGTAACAAGACTGATTCACAGATGTCAGCACTATGCAAATCTAATATTCTCCTTTTGAAGTTCTGCATATTTTGGGATATCTGAAAGTTTAATGACCATTATTATGTTAACATTTTATTCTTAAACGCTTAGCGTATTAGAAAACGTTTCATACAGCACAGAACATGTTAGTAAAATTAAATATTAAAAGATAAAAAGGTAAAGTCGTTGCTGTAGCCTGTTCACTACTCAATGGAGTAAGCAGTTAGCTTCACGCTCCGACCGCTGTAACACTTTAGTAATTATGAGTCAAATATCCTATATAAATACATTAGCAGTTTAAATAATTTTGTATCCACTAATAAGAGGAAGAAGATGTTTCGAAAAAGGGTTGTTATTCTCCTTATGTAACGGAGTTTCCATACGCTAGGC